TCTGTCCCACCTGTCCCCCCCCGTGCCAACGCAAAACGCCGCGTTCTTGATCCTCCTCCTCCTCGTCTTACCCCCAACTCGCCATAGCCTGCGCACTGCTTGTTGCATGCCTCTCTGAGAGAATTTTTCTCCACTTATCGACAAGACGCTTGGCTTTTTTGGTCGGTTGCACCGTTTGCTTCGCGACCCTCTTACTCGTCATCTGCTGCTGCCTTTTCTTTGTGCTGGGCGCTGGAGAGTGGCTTTGTCATTAGTTGGGCGGCGAGCATAGCAAGGAGCGGAGCGATGGAGCATAGACCTATGGCAGAGGCTTCGACTTGCGCCTTTTTGACCTTCCTCTCTTTCCTCTCCTTCCTTTCCTTCCTCTACTTCATCTACTCCCTTCCCTGCTCCCCTCCGCATGACCTCCCCCTCCCCCTCCCCCCTGCCCCGGCCCTCACCACTCGACCCCACGACCCTCCATTATCCCTGTCCCACTGCACCACCCCTCGTAACCTGACCACGCCACCGACCACCACCACCCCCCCGCCTTCCAGAGATCGTGGAAGATGTCCCCCCCTCTGATGACGCCCCACGTGGCATGGGGCAGAAAGGCGCTTTAGGGAATTGCCATGCCCTTCCCACAATTCGGCGAGATGATCCACGCGGATGCAGAAATGCGTTGGATCTGGAGGAGAGAGCTGAAGCGGGATATAACCTTTTCCCCCTTTTTTCCCCCCTCCCCCCTCTCTCCATTCCCCGTTTTCCCTTCTTCCCATATGGAACCACCTAAATGTTTGACAACAAAGGAACGAGGTGGGCAATGTATTTTTTTTCTGGTCGCAGAAGAAACTATTCGGTGTGATCTTTGGTCATTGTTTGATGTATGGACTACCCCCCCTTCTCTCGTGTGGATGCTCCCCTGTCTCTCTTAACCCTTTGATTTAATGGAAACATCGCTTGTCTTTTTCCTCCTCTCCTTCTCCTTCCTCTCTTTCTTTCGCACCATTACCTCCTCCTCTCGTCCTCTCCCCTCCTCCCGCTCTCCTCCCCCCCCTCTCTTGCTCCCTCTGTCTCCCTCTTCTCCCTCCTCCATTTCCTCGCTCCTATCTTCTGGATGCTTTTTCCGCTATAGCTAGTCGTTTTTTTACCTTTTCCGGCGGTGTCTCATCCTTTGTTGCAATCTTACTTGGTTGTGTCGATGAAAGTGTATGATCGTGTCTGGGCAATTACATGCGATAAATTGTTTCCAATGCTTGTCGTGTTTTTCGGTATTTTCTATACTAGCGGATTGTTTTGCGTATCTTGCTTGTTTTGGCATTTTCTATCGTAATATATTGTTGATGCCTCCTCGGAAAAGAAGGCACCCGTTCCCCCCTTCACTCTGATTCGCCACCAACGCATAATCGGTCTACTTCGACCGTAAAACAACCCTATGTCTTTACCCTCACCACAAATAGACACACGAATGGTTCTACCCCGCCGCGTTGAAAGATCGCCTCCCGTGTCTTGTTTTTTTTGCTTACAGTGTGCCGACGCTTTTGGTCGGAGTAGCACGAGTATGACGTATCGTACTCGTGCGAAACTCATGTGACACACGCATGCTACACACTGAGGAGGACGTGTTTCCTCGATCGTTGTCAGGGAGTGCCCCTCCCGACCGCACTATGAAGCGTTTATTTGGCGTTCCTTATACTCCCCCGCGTGGAAATGAGGTGATGATGGTGGCTATGGGGTACGCCGGGATCGTTTGAGCGTTGATGAGGGGATGGCTGGATAATGTCGAAAGAAAAGGTTGTGAGTTGTGAAGGTCCGTGGTGAGAGGTGATGTGATCTTGGGGACAGTTGGTGGGGACCTGCTTTGACGAATCTTTATTGTCCTCGCGTGTGGTTCTGTCTTCCCCCATTCCTGATCCCTGCACTTCTTTCAATAACCCCCCTGTTTGCATTGTCCCATCACTTTCGGCTTACGGGGGCCCTCCCTCCTTCAGAGAAGATTCCTCATCCTCCGTGCCTTTTTTTTATTCCCGTTCTCATGTAACCACCCTTGTCTACATGATCGCCCGATTCTCCAGCTTCCCTGCTCTCCATTATTCCTTTTTTTTGTTCTTCCCTATTTTTCTCTCCCTTCTCTCCCTTTCTTTCCCCTCTCTTCTTCTTTTTTTCCGTTTTCCCTTTTTTTTTGTGCTTGTCCGTTTTTTTTGTGCGCGTTCGCAGATACCTCCCAAGGAATCGTTCCCGGGCGGATGGTGGAATGAGTTAACGCATCGCTTCCCGTGGCTAAGAGAATGCGCCTGGCCCGCAAAACCCACGCAAGCATTAATGACTTGCGTTAACCCGAGGGTCATGGATGCGATAAAAAATGCATGGGATATCGGGCGCTTCCCCCATTTCTTTGAAATGATTTATTTTAGTGACCTCCCTGTTCTCACGGGAGCGTGGGATCGGAGTAGGGAGGAATTCGACGATGAACTAAGGGTCTTATGCGAGCGGCTTGAGTTAAGAAAGCAAGAGTATGCTAGGGAGTATGGGGAGTTGGGGGTAGATCTGCAAGGGTTGAACGGATCCTCCTTAGGATCTGGGGTGTGGATGACTCGCACCTAGAAGGGCGGGTCCCTGAAACGCGGGCGGACGGTTCGCCTACCGCGGAAGGCAACCGAGTAACGAAATGCGATAATCTTGCGATCAAGGCAGAGGAGAGGGAGGAGATGGAACGAGCGATCGCCGCCATTACGGCCACCATCAGGGATTCCCCCCTCACAAGCAACGGGGCGGGTGCTAATAACTTTGAACGGGACCGATATACGGCGTTCGCTCCCCTGGCATCCACGTATTGGGTAAAACACACATCCACGGGTTTTCGACATGCGATTTGGAAGATGGAGACCTTTAACCATATTGCACCAATCTCCATCAGGGCACTCCAATTCCTGGGGAATGTCACAGATGCACAAGTGAAGGAGTGTAGGGCGCATGCACTAAAAGGAAAACTGAAGTTCTCCGGGAGGGTCCCCCCCCTGGACTCCCAGGACCTTAAATTCCCACCCGTGGGCGCATTAGATCCGGATAAATGTGGGGAAACGAGCTCGGGGATGGGGCAAAAAGCTATTAGGCAGCAGGACAGGCTAGAGCTCAGGACCCCGAGGAAGATATGGAGTGTGGGGAGACCCTATCTCAAGTGCAAATGCAAGAGGGAGAAAAACAGAGACTGCGAAGACACCCCACTGTGGTTTGACCATGCCCTCTAGTTGCGCACCCGGACGTATTGTTCCCAGATATGTCCTCGATCAAAATCAGGACATCAATGTTGATCCACTACCTCAGGACCACGTAGAGGGATGGGGTACTTGCCGCCATTAGCTTTCACTTTCTCAGAGATCTAATGATGAGATTTGTCAAGGAACTCGAGAAGGACGCAACTCTCGACACGGAGAGCTTGCTAAAGGAGGATCGCTTATGGAACTATCCGATCCTTGCGTTACTCACGCGAATTATGCTCCTCACACGGATCCCCGAAAAACCGACGAGATTTCCCCTCAGCTCTCCGCGGGCAGCGGCGCGGAAGAGGGGCGGGGGCGCGCAGGTATTGGGCCAGACCACACTCAACTTCCGCAGGTTAGCACCGGTATCCGTTGCTCCCCCTCCCCCTCCTCCTCCTATACCTTCCCGTCCTCCTCCTCCCCCTCCCCCTCCCCCTCCACCTCCCCCTCCTCCACCCCCCTCTTCGTCTTCTCATCTGCAACCCACGATGGTGATTACCAGGGTGGAGAAGACACGCGGCGGTACTCACTTCCTTGGTTTGCATACCGGGAACCCACTTACAGGGGAACATCGATCCACACCAATACAGGCAACGAGGAACCAGACCTTTCCCTCCCCACTCCCACCTTCTCAGCAACTGGTGATGGTGATTAGGGGACTGACTCCTCCTTCTGTCATCCTCCTCTCGCCAGAAAACTCGGCACAATCAACACTTACCCAGACTGGGAGAGGCAAAAAGAAGGGCGCGAAGAATAGAGGTGGTGGGAGAACGGGCGCCGCCACCAGCAGGCGACCTGCACGTGCATAACCCCCCTCGGAGAAGCAAATAAGAGGGTCATGGCCTTCTTTTTCCAATGCTTTTTCCCAGTTCCTCTCGCTCTTCCCTTTCTGGTCTTACCCTTCCTTGTTTTTGTTTTATTTTCTTCTCTCCCCGTCTTGCCTTCCCTCCCTTCGTTCCTCGAAAATTCACTATCCCATCCGGCACAACCCGTGTCCTGTGATTGTGACCTTCGGAGCACAAGACTTTGAAACCGCGCGTTCATTGAACGCGGGTTTTCCGTTCAGAAATTGAACGGAATGCACGCGCGTTCAATGAACGGGACCAAACGCGGAGTTCAATTCCGCGCGAGGAAAAAAAAAAAAAAAAAAAACTAAAAAAATTCCGAAAACAAAATATGTTATGAAGAAAAATAAAATAAACAATATTTGCCTGAGCATTACATCTAAATTCGTTACCAAATTGGAAAAACAAATAGAAAACAGAAAATAAAAAAAAAAGTAAAAAAAGAATTGAAATTAGTGNAAATAGAAAACAGAAAATAAAAAAAAAAGTAAAAAAAGAATTGAAATTAGTGAGCGAACACGATTTGACACCGCCATCTTTGGCGATTTTTTTTTTTTTTTTGCCTAAGCAAAATAACTCCAAATTTAAGAGTCATGTACCTCACATCATACGGAACTCATAAAAAAACAATCAGGAAAAAAAAATTATTTTTAGGCATTAAAATATTTTTTAAAAAAGATTAAAAATAATAATAATAAATGAATGTCGTTCAATTTTGAACGCGGACGCGCAATCCGCATTCAAACGCACATTTGAACGCGAACGCGCATTCACGGTGTTTAAACGGTTACACAGGCGCAGGACCCGTGTAGCAGCATCAATGCTCCAGGGCAGATGATCGCGCTACCGATTGGCCAAAGATCTTGGAAGAGACAAAAGTCGGATTGCGACGTGTTCTTGCACCTGAGATATACGAGTAGGGTGATTGAGCCACTTTCCATCAGGAGGCTGATAAACGAAGTCCTGACCAGGATAATAGGAGATGAGACAGTGACGTGGCTGGAGCGGACCATGATCGGTTGGACCTATAACGGCAGCATTGCGTCTAAGCTTTGCAGACCTGCGGAGGTATTCTGCGATTTTGATGTTGCGAAGTGGATGGAGGCCTACGAACCGGAGCAGTGTCCATGCAAATCTCGCAGGTACACGGACATGTGCAGCAATGCTTCGATCTCGCTGCTCCAAAGCGAGGGTTGTACACATGTGATCACTTTGGACTCGTCGATCATAGACAATCCACTACTCCAAGGCATCATCAACTCTGGACTGAACCATATCCCTTGCATGACCCTGGACGTGGACGAGGCGGAGAACGAGGTGGGTGGATTCCTGGACAGACTCATGGCGATGGTACTGGAACTACGCAAGCTCACGGCGTCCACCGCGTTATTTCTGCGGAGGTTAATCTTAAAGAAAGCGAGAGCGAGGATGGCGAAATACTGGGAACAACATAGGCACATAACCGCGGAGCCGTTCGAACATCCGACTGTCAAGCAGGAGCTGGAGTTTCTCACCGGTCCCTTCCTCGTCTGTCCGACGGATAAAGCCCTGAGCACTCCTGCCTTCGTGTGCAAGAACTTCATACGAAAGCTCGCCTTTCAGAGGTTGTCTGGACCTGAGTTCGCAATCATCGCCGCCCCCCCCTACATCGGTCATCTCGCGGATACGGGGCGAGCTTTCAGCTATGCCCGCGTTGTCGGTTGCACCAGTGACACTCCCGTACCTAATGACGGTGTTCAAGGCGCATAAGGGCACGTTCCGCTGGATTATGAACACGGCCAAAACAATTGTTTCCCCGACAGTGGACCTCTGTGCGTGTCTGCTTCGGTTTTTTCTCCCCCTGGTGCAGACATTTTACCAGAAGAGAAGCTTGGAGTTGGAAGAACGATATGGGGTGAAGGCAAACTTGTGGTGGGCGATAGCCTCGGTAGGGGAGTTTTATGCGAACCTGCCAGAGAAGATCTATTCCATATTTACGGCGGATATCACTAAATGCTTTGAGACGATTCCCACGGACAGCTCGGAGGATAGCCTACCGGCGATAGTGAGATTTTACGTGCAGGGTGCGATGCAGGTGCAGAGGGAGAGAAGCTCGAGCCACATCATTCGGATCAGGGTAGGGGAGGGCGGCAGGTTCTGGCCCTCGTGGGTAGATGGCGATCAGGCGGAGGGATTGGGTTCTATGCTGTTCAAAGTTGGAGATGTCTGCTGGCTCACGGAATGGTGCAACGCCAACAGTGTGTTACGTATGGGGGACTATGTGTGGAGACAAGTCATGGGCATCCCCATGGGCTTGGCCTGCTCCCCGATTTGGTGCGATATCTATTTTTTCAAATATGAGTATCACGCCATGATGAGGTTGGCATATACCGGGAATGCATATCTAATTCCTAACTTATCGGACACCTTCAGATACATCAACGACCTGGGCTCGATTAACAACACCATCATCGGGAGCTTCATGTGGAAGAAGGGGGACAGGGAGGAGAACGACCCGTGCTGGATCTATCCAGACGAGTATATTGGGATCAAGGAGAATACCGAGGTTGTCGTGGATGGGTGCGGACGAAAGGCCAATTTCCTCTGCGTGACCATTACAATCACCTCTCCCGAGACGGGTACATACGTCACCTCTAGGCATGACAAGCGCGCAGACCTAGGATTTGCTTCATGCAGGTTTATGAAGTATAAGTCCAACAGAAGTGTTAAGCAGGCGTTGCAGATTATCACGGCCCAAGTCGCACAGATACTATTACTGTGCTCCAAACCAGGTGATGCGGCCGAGGAAATAAAGAAGGTGATGACCGCGATGAGGAACAATGGCTTTGCTAGGGATGCTTACTGGGGAGTGGTTAGGAAGACTCTGTGGAATGCATATCGCTACCAGCCCGACATGGTTTCCGTGCATACGGTCAGGGAAGCGCTGGCCGATATGTATAGTATCACTGACTAACTGTGGTTTTCGTGTGCGTATCTGTGTTTGTGTATGTGCGTATCTGTGTGATTGGTGTCCGGGGGACGACTGGGCCGAGAGGGCCGGTTGTTCTCCGCACAACCTTCCCCTCGGACCCTGTCATCCCCCAGAGGGAACGGGGTGGGACACACACACACACATACAGGTGAGGGGAGGAAGAGAAGCAATAGGAGCTGGAGGAACGGACTCACAAAGCTGGACAATTCTGCCGGCGAGCGCATGCATTCCTCTCTCTCTCTCTTTCTCTTCGCTATTTTTCCTTTTTTCTTTATTTTCCTTCT